ATTTCGCATTGCGATTTTCATTTCGCATTGCGATTCTCTCGTTGCGATTTTCATTTCGCATTGCGATTTTCATTTCGCATTGCGATTCTCTCGTTGCGATTTTCATTTCGCGTTGCGATTGTAATTTCCGTGTTGCGATAGTCAAATGCATGCCTAATAGTGATAACAACTGAATAACAAGAGTTGGTTAAGTCAAAATGGTTGGCCTGAGTCATTAATTCAACTGAAAATGTTAAAAGTTCACACATAAAATCCACATAATACAACGTTTGCATTTAAAAATCACCTAAGTTAACAGTCCCAAAAGGTGAAGCCAATTGTGATTGGGATTTTAACGATGATTGCCTTTTGCTTGACACCATATGAGCTTTGGATTTTGATGAGGATCCATATTTTGGTAGAGGAAAAGATGATTTTGATGGCACTGGTGATCCACATGTCAACCTTGTATGACCACTTTCCTTGCACCGACTACATGTCGATCTCTTCTTCTCTTCACCCTTAGACGGTATACGATCGTGACTTTTTGGTCGGCCAGGTAGCCTTCTGTCCATGGCTGGTGGCAGAACTGTTTGTAAGTCATCTGGTATGTCCCACTCAGAAGGATGTGGAATAGGGTAGACAATCTCGGCATAAGTCTGTCGATAAACTTCTGTAGTGTAGCAATCCATAGCGTATGCGCTTGAATCATCTTGGTTTAAATGAAGAGCAACTTTTATAACATGGCCACACGGATAACCAGATGTTTGCCATTTCATACAACTACACGTCTTTGCATTTAGATCGACTAGCCCATTTAAGTTATTATCCAGTACTTGAAACAAAGTGTTTGAACATGGTTCAACTCTCCATGACGTTGACTTCACAACACGTTTCGTTATCTTTTTTTCAGTCCATGGTGTAACACGATGTTCCAATGTTCCTGTAAATTTAAATAAACAATACTTAGTAAAATATATAAATATGATAAGTTACGAATTCAAAGAAATAATACCTGCATGGTTTCTTTTCTTGTAGTACCACTGTTGAATAGAGGCTCGAAAAAAACTCCATTAACATAGTAATGGGTAATTTCCGGGAATGACGACTTAGAGCGTTGATTGATTCTGCACTATTAGACGTCATGAAACCATATCTTGCTCCAAGTTGATGTACTCTTGACCATCTTTCAAACCCGACATCTTCTAGTGTTTGAGCACACTGAGGCAAAACACGTCTTAAACAATTTATATGCTTATTGAAATCCACTTCCCGATAAGCTTTTACAGCCTTCCAGTATGTCCATTTGTGCTTTTTATACCAGCAGACCTTGATTTTAGATTTCTATACAAATGAACACCACAAAGTCCATGAAAAGCATCTGGGAAACACCTTCTAACAGCGTTGTCAATTGAGTTTGCCCTATCGGATATGATTGTCAGATTGCTAATAGGACCTATGCAATCCCTAAGATGCCCATAAACCATGTCCATGAATCAGAGGTTTCAGATTTGCCAACCCCGTAAGCTATTGGCAATATCCCATTGTTAGCATCCATGGCTACTGCTAATAAGTTTACTCCAAGGTATCGACCTTTCAAATGTGCTCCGTCAACTATAATAACTGGGCGCATGCAAGTAATAAACGAACGAATCTACAAAATAATATACACAAGAAATATAATCATTTAAATGTGAAATGCATGTAACTAACAAAAATGAGTCAATAAAATTATATTGATTTACTAACCGTAGCACCAATGGCGATAAACAACAACTCAAGCGTCCATCTCTATCTGTTTTGATATGAGTTACCGACCCAGGATTTTTCAGCTTTAAATTGTGACAATAAGCCGGCAGTTGGGCAAACGATGCTTCTGGCGACCCCCTCAACAATTCCAAGGCATAACATTTGGCTCTCCAAGCTTGAGAATATGATATACTAATCTTGAACCGAGCATTCATGTCAGTCATAATTTCATGTCCCCGATATACCCTGCCATTCAAAAACATTAACTCAGCCAGAAAACCACCCAACACCTTTTTGTTTGCCTGTCTATGGTGAGGAAAAACTTGGGTTCTTGAACATGTATGTTTATCAATAAAAGTCCTAACTTGAAACATTTTGCAATCTTTTATTCTCTTTGCAATCATACGCCACGTACAGTTTTTGTCAATCATACACCTTGTTTCGAAACGATCTTTGCTTGATTTGTTAACTTTAGTTGATAGCCATCTTCCACACATTTCGTATACAAAGCTATCTTCAAGTCTTCCTTGTATCAAAACAATCATCTTTCTTGATACGAATAACTTTTGTGTAACAATCAACTGCTTTCTTTACCAACTCTTCTTCCGGTATCTGAAGTAATTCTGGCATATTCCAGTTATACGCCCGTGGCATTTTCTTTTCTTCGGGGACTTTTTCTTCTTCTTTTTCTTCTTCAGGATTATATGAATTACAGAATGGATGTTCAACATGTTCATTCACAGTCGTAACTTCCTCCTCATTATCATCAACAATATCTTCTTCGGCAACGACTGTTTCATCATCAAAATTCGGGTATTGACCAATATCAAAATCATTACACGCAGGGTCTGTTTCTTCTTCTGAAACATCATCAAAATCCGTGTACTGACCAATATCAAAGTCTGGATATTGACCAAGACCAAATTTCGAATACTGACTAGTACTCACAATTTTTCTGTTGGCTCATCATCGTCTAACTGGTCAATACGAAAACCGGAATTTGGTGCTGAAAGTTGATTGGGATTTGGATTAGAGAAAGGTTGTGGGTTTTGAGAAAAACTTAGTTGATTACTACCCGCTACTGACCCAACAATACTACTTCTAGGTTCAACAACATACAATGTAACATCATCTTGTGAAACCCTAATGTAAGCAATGAATCGTTCAACATCTTCATTGTCGGTTAACAAATAAACTTTACTATTTCTCTGATAAGATAGCCTAAATCCACTTAGGGGCTCTAAATTCAATTTATTTGAAACACGTAGCATTAGAGTTTCATAAGTTAACTTTTGTAAAGACAATTTTAGTTGAAGATTCATGGGTAAAGGCATATATTGTAAAACACCATGAACATTATCTCATGACCCTCCAAAACACAAATCTATCCAAACATGATCAACATTAGATGATTTCATGGTTGTAAATTAATTTACTAAACAGACGAGCTACGAAACTAAAACCTGTTGCCGGATTGGGAAGGATGTCGTTGGATATAGGAACGGATGTCGCCGGAGAGAGTGATAGATGGAGATGGAATGAGTTGCGATTTAGGGATTTAGTTTATGATTTCAGTGTTATATACCCAAAATTTCAGTGTTGTGATTTACAGATTCTCGTTGCGATTTACGGATTATCGTTGCGATTTACAGATTCTCGTTGCGATTTACGGATTATCGTTGCGATTTACGGATACGCGTTGCGATATACGGATACGCATTGCGATTTACCCATACGCGTTGCGATTTACGGATACACGTTGCGATTTACGGATACGAGTTGCGATTTATGTGTTCGCGTTGCGATTTTCATATTCGCGTTGCGATTTTGGAAAATCGCAATGCGAATTTGTACTATCGCATTGCGATTTTCAAGAATCGCGTTGCGATTTTGGAAACTGATTTGCGATTCTGGGGATCGCGTTGCGATTTTTATTTCGCGTTGCGATTTTGTTGGTCATTTTGGCAAATCCAAAAAAAGTTGGTTAAAATCGTATATTATAACTTTTTTTTGGTCACTGAGGCGATTTTCTCTTATATAAAAACAGAGACAGGACATCACATGAAGACCACATGGTTGGATCAAATGGCGATGCCATGCATTCATCATCATCATTCCCATTTCCTCCTGTACAATCTTACTTTCTTTCTCCTGATATTGCAAATACTCCTAATAATATAGGGATATGATGCTGATTTTTTTAATAAGGATAAATTAAAATATAAGTGCTAGTTTTCTTTTCACTTTAAGTATATAATTTTTTTATTTAAGTAAAGTTCTTACTTTTTACGTTATTATTTTAAGTGTAATAACTATTATGATGGTTAAAATAATTTATCAACCACTTAAAACGTAATAGATATCATGATTATACTTTATTAAAAATATTTTTTAAAAATTTAAAATTATTAGATTTTACAAGAAAATTTTAAATTTATCAAAAATTAAAAAAATATCAAACTTAAAATCTTTAATTCCAAAGTCACATATCACTGCCATCGTCTTCGTAGATTTCTATGGATGCCTCTAGTAAGATATGGTGACGCCAAACATGAAGCAATTGTTTGTGATTTGGGTTAATAACTTAAAGGCTAGCATTAGAGAATTAAGCATAGGGAATTCACAAATTTAGGGGTTTGGAACCACGAAATTGGCGATTGTCGGTCATTAAATGGTCGGTGATGAGTGGGTGATCGTTTGACATTAAATGGTCGGTGATGAGTGGATGATCGTTTGACTGACGATCTAATATGTTCGACAACGGTAATAAGGGTATGAAATTAGAGATTTTAGGGGTCTGAATTTTTTTAGAATTTTAGAGAATTTTTAGATTTAAAAAAAATTAATAATTTAAAGTTTTTATTTATTTTTTTTATAAAAATTTATAAACATAACACATGTCACGTTTTGAATGATTGTAATAGTCCAGACATTTAAAATGATAATATTAAAAACATAAGACGCCTACTTTGATAAAAAAAAATATACTTTAGAGACCTAAAGTTGATAAGAAATATAGTTCGATCACTTTGTTTTTGATTAAGCCTTTTAATTAAGCATTGTTTTTATGCTGGAATTCTGTCATATTCACTAAAGCTATTATGGAAAGAATGTAACTGAAACGTTAAAGAAGATGAGGGCATAACAGTAAGTCCACACTTATGGTGAAATCTCGTGCATAATAATTATGAGGCTTTACGAGAATTACACTCAATTCACTATATACGAATAAATTAAAGATCCAAAAGATAAGAGTGAAGCTTTGCTTTGCCTTGTCTGTCATTGCTCTTGCCAGTGCCGGCATTTCCTCTCTTTTCTTTTAGCAGTTTTTTTGCTTTGCTGATTACATCTTACTCTTTCTCTTTCTTCAACACTCAACCTCCTCCTCCTTCACATTTGTTATTTGCTCTCTCTTTCTTCTTCTGTTAGAAAACTCCCAAAACTGAGCGTTTTTCTTTGTGGGAATTTGTTGTAAATTTCATCTTCTTCAGATCTGTTTAGGTATCTGAGTTAAACAATGAGTAAAGAAGAGTTTATGAAGATCCAAGTATTTTTACTCTCTCTCTCTCATTTTCTCTGTCTTTTTCAAAGATTGCACCTTTACTTCATTTCTACTCTAAAATCTTTTCTTTTTTGCAGACTTGTGTTCTCAAAGTTAACATACACTGTGATGGATGCAAGCACAAAGTGAAGAAAATCTTACAGAAGACTGAAGGTATTTCTTCTCTAAATTTGCTCTCTTTTGTTGCAGAAAAGCTGATTTTGAGACATGTTTCTCTAATTTTGAGCTCCTTGGGGTTGTTTTGTTTCTACCAGGAGTTTTTAAAACCACCATTGATTCTGAGCAAGGTAAGGTAACAGTGCTGGGAAATGTAAACCCAGATATTCTCATCAAGAAGCTTGCAAAATCAGGGAAGCATGCAGAGCTTTGGGGCTCTTCAAAAGCTCCTAACAACAGCAACAATAATAAAGGTCACCTTGCCAATCAGTTCAAGAACATGCAGATGCTTGAAAATGGCAGCAAAGGTGGAAACAACAACAACAACAACAAGGAAGGCCAGAAAGGGAACACCAACAACAGCAACAATAACCAGCCCAAAGGAGGTCAGCCAACACCTCAACAATTGCAGCGGCATCTTCAACAGATTCAACAAATGAAAGGGTTTCAAGATCTGAAGCTTCCTCAGTTGAAAGACATGAAGATGGGTCCTAATCCCAACAACAATCAGAAAGCTGTCAAGTTTGCCGACGAGGAAGATTTTAGTGACGATGATTATGATGATGATGACTTGGATGATGATTGTGATCTTGATGATGATGATTATGATGATACAGATGAGTTGGATGATCTTCGTCATCCACCTAACAAGATGAAGCCCATGATGGGAAATGCTCCTAAAGGAATGCCCAACAATATGATGATGTTGAATGGTAATCATCCTCAGCTTATGCATGCCCAAAAGGTAGCCCAAAATGCCGCTGCAAACGCCGGAGGCAACGGTAAAAAAGGAGGTAACGGTGGTGGAGCTGGTGGCAGTGGTGTGCCTGTTGCTGGTGGTAACAATGGAAACGGAGGTAAAAAAGGCGGTGCTCCTGGAGGAAATAATAATGGGGGAAACCCAAATCAAGGTGGTAAAAACGGAGGTAAAAATGGTAGTAGTTTACCTCAGGAAGTAAACAAGAACGGCGGTGGTTACAACGGCGTTCCAAACGGTGGAAATGGGGGCAAAATGGGAAATAATGGGGCACCGATTGGTGTTTCCCATAGGTTCCCTCCCGCCAACGGTGGAGACATGGGTCATCAAAGGGCGGCTGCCATGAACATGGCAATGGGACAAATGGGCAGCTTACCCATGAACCAAATGGGTAACATCCCAGCGGTTCAAGGCTTACCAGCATCCTCCGCTATGACCAGCGGAGGAGGTGGCGGCGGATACTTCCAAGGGGCGGATCCAGATGTCATGCCCGGAAACCCATACCATCAACAACAGTACATGGCAGCAATGATGAACCAGCAACGTGCAATGGCAGCAAACGAGAGGTTTCAGCAGCCCATGATGCATGCTAGGCCACCACCAGATGTCAATTACATGCCACCATACCCATACCCATACCAATACCAATATCCATACCCGTACCCACATCCTCAACCCGACCCGTATACCCACTTTAATGATGAAAACACCTCAAGCTGCAATGTCATGTGAAGATATTTGGATTTAATTTATCCAGAAAAAGGAAGCTTTGGATTTAAGTTTGATGCCATAATATACTTGAAAATGGTATTTTTATTTTCATTTTTTTTCAATCCTAAGTTGAATTAGGGCTTAAATTATGATAGTGGTTATTTATAGATAATATTTTTGTTGAGGGGAGGATGATTTTGTAAGTGGGAAGTCGGTGGTGCTCTTTCCTTTTCCATGAGAATGTTTATATAATTATATGTAGCAATACAAATATGGTTAACACAAAATTAAAATTCAACCTCTCAAATTTTTCTCTTTATTTTTTTTATAGTTTTGTTTAAAGTACAATTTTGATATAAATTTCTGTAATTTTTTTTCTATATTTTTAATTAACTCCTATTTTTATATATTCTTTGTTCGACAAAAAATGCCCGTCTCTCTATGCCTTTTTGTCTCCCAATAGTCTCTCTTTGTTATAAAAAAATTAAATTAAATTTCTTTACTTTTTGAGTACTACAAGTTTGGGTATGAAGTGAATATACTAATATTATATAATAAAGAATAGTATGTTAAACTATATAAAATAATAGTTGGTCTAGTAAGATAATATATTAGATTAAGTAAAATGTTTAACTTTTTATGTTTGTAAATAGAGTAAATTGGATTTAAAGATCGTCCTTACTTCTGTAATAGTTAATTCAGATTAATCCAGATTAATTGATTGATAAATTAAATATGTATAATTATATTAAAAAGAACATTGAATAATTTAATGATAGAAATAAATATTATTTTTTAAAAATATGAGTTTAAATAATTATATTATCAGAATATATATTATTAATAATTTAAAAATTAAAATGATAATTAACGTAATTATTTTAGATTATTAAAAGATAATTAAAATGAAAAAAATATGTTAAATGAACACAATATATTGAATTTGTATAACATTATAGTCAAAGAATGATAAGAGTCATGTGATAGTGTGGGGGCAGAGTGAGTGCGGTGGGAAAAATAGGACCCACCATCCTTGAATACCGTGTTTTTATTGACGATTTTGTTCCTACCCTCATTCCTAATAATGATTAAAAATATTTGGTGACCGCTTTTACTTTTTTTTTTTCAATTCTCACTTTCACTCTTCACTTTTACAAAGACATGGTAAAGATCTCCATTGTTCGTTTCTTCAAACTTATGCCAATGCTTTGACTTTACTTTCTCAATTATGCTTTTATTTCTTTCGATTTTTAAATAAATATCTTCCAGTATTAATACCTTTAAGCAAGAGTGAGGGTTCAATTGAAAGTTCGAAATTTTAAATTAATCAATTTGATAAGTTTTATTATAATTTAAATTCTATTTAATTTTTTTTAAATCAAATTAGATATTACTCGACTCAATTCGTTAAATTCTCAAATTAAACTAGAGTTTGAATTAAATCAATTTAAATTCAAACTAAATTAAATTTGAGTAATTCACTAACTGCTCAACACCCTTAATTAGAAGGTTACTCCACTTGTTTATAGCTAGCTAAAATAATGACTCATGCTCTAGTATTGATTAAACTTAGTAATATTAAACTCATAATATGAAAAAAAGAGGCGATTTTACCGAAATATCACCATGACAGGAAATAATTACCAGCACCCTTTCGTCTAATTTTACTGATCTAACATCTTTTTTGACAAAGCACGGATCGTCTTTCCAGGGTTTCGTTCAAGCTGGCTCCACGTCATGTAAGGCGTAGATGGTCATCAGCGTCTTATTCGAGCTGGCGCCATTTAATGACAGGCGTGAATCGTGATCCGCACCTTTCTAGGGCATCTGATCTCGGCCTTTAAACTCTCCACTCACTTATAAATAACACCATTTCTATGCAAACATCACCACATCAATTCCTTCTATTTTTGCTTCACCAATTCCTTCGATTTTTTGTTGTAAGGTAAAATTATTATTTTTTATTTTATTACATTTATTTTATATATGATTATTTGGAAAAAAAATTATTGTACTAATTATTTTGTATTATTTTTTGCGGTTGTAAAATTGAAAAGTGAGATCATATGTTGAGACATTTTTGCCGATACGGTAACAATATAAAATTATATTATTTAAATTATTGTGAAAATTTTAAAATTATTTAATAGATTATATTTTAATTCATATACTATTTATTTAATTATGCGTATTTCAGCTATTGTTTTTGCATATATAAGACTCTCAATCTTTCAAACTATCAGAATGACGTGTATTTTAGCTATTTTTTACTATGATGGAGAAATTCGGGAAAATGAAACTGGCGTCGTGTTCGCATCAAATCCTGTCAAAATATCATTTTGTCAAAATATCCTTCAAATGAAACATAACTCTTGAGGAGCTGATAACGAAGATTTCAAGGAAGATTCATGTTGAAAATACTAGAAGTTTGTCTTCACTTCAGTACAAATTTCCAACTGCAATATTTCTGTTAACTTATACAACATTCGAACTATCCAACAATGACGATGTTCTATGATCGTTGATTCTCAAAATCATTATTTAGAAGCCGATACTGAGATGAATGCGAAATTTGTTGAAGTGCGTATTGTTAGTGGTATGTCATTATGCTCTCACTATGGGCTGACTCAACAACTTGACAACCTAACTCAAGTAATATGTAATGATTTTAACTCGTTAATGAGAAATCCACATCATGGTGTCATCCTATCAAGTTCAATGAAAAGACATTCATCAGCAACTTCTTACGATTTGTACCGAGATGGCTCCACAAACAATCCATATGACAACATTACGTTCAGTTCAAGGGGAAGACATTCATCTACTAATTTCTTTGACCTGAATATGAAGATGCCTTCGATGCAACAATTTATGTAGTATCCATTTGACACGATGCCTTCAAGCTATAGGGGGAGACATTCAACTACGATCTTCTTCGACCTCAATATCGAAATGCCTTCAAGTTCAAGGGGAAGACATGCAACTACCATCTTGTTCGACCTAAATATCGACATCGTGGAGGAACCCTCATCTTTACCAAAAGAACCTCTTCGTGAGCTAGGTGCGGATAGTGATGAGACTATACTATTCATTCAGCCAGAATCACCACAATTCAACATATACTCCGATGATGATGATGTAGATGAAGTTCCCACAAATACGGTATACACTGAACCTCCAACACACATGTATAAAGTTGACTATGATGTAATATAATGACCAGAATTTATGGATATGCCTAATGTCGGTGAATGTGGATTTAACTCACGAGTCAATAATGGTGAGTTATATAAAAGAATAGAGTTTTCATGCAAAGAAGAAGCAATGATGACAATTAAGAATTATAATATTCATAATTCTGTTTAGTTCAGAGTCGACTGCTCTACCACCGAAAAGTATGTCTGCCACTGTGTCCAACGTGATAACGGATGCAATTGAATGGTTCGCGTATCGAAGAGGAAGAGGAAGAGGAAAAAAAATATATGAGAAATAACGATATACAAAGGTCCTCACACATGTTGTGCTGGAGGGATCAACCAAGATCATCCCAACTTGGACTCCGACATTATCTACTAAGCCATCATGCCTATGATAAAAGCAAGCTCCTATATAGCTATTGTTGTGCTGATTTCAGCTATACAATCGCAGTATGGGTATACTGTCTCATATAGGAAAGCATGGAAGGCAAAACAGAATGCCATTAAAAAACTTCACAACGAATGGGATGCATCTTACAACGAACTACCAAGTTAGTTTAGGGTGGTGCACAGATTGAATTCTAGGACAATTATCGACTTCGAAACTTGACATGCATACTACAATGATTGAGTGCTTCGTAATCCATGCCAATTCTACCGACTTTTTGACTTACTCACAGTGCATTAATATTGTAAAATACTGCAAGCCCATGGTCCAAATCGATGGGACATTCTTGTATGGAAAATACAAGCAAGTTTTACTATTGTCAGTTGTCTAAGATGGTAATCGCAACATAATTCCAGTTGCTTTTGCCCTTGTTGAAGGAGAAGATACAAATTCTTGAGCTTTTTTCTCAGAAACTTACGCTTACATGTTATCACGAGGGAAAAAATCTGTGTCATTTCAGATCGCAGAGCTGAGATCAAAGAAGCAATGGATTCTTTGGGTCCAATGTGGCAACCACCCTATGTCCAACATCAGTACTATATCCGACACATTGCTGCAAACTATCATGGAATGTTCAAGAAGAATGATGAGTGTCAATTACTTGTGCGCATGGGTATGTCAAAATACTATTTTTTATTTCTCAATCATTTTCATTTTTTTATGGAAACAAAGTTAGTAAGTTCTACATTTGATGCTCAGGTTATGAACTACTACCTGAAACATTTGAGCCCATGCTTCAAGAGTTGTGAGGAAAGAATGAGAAATGATACGATTACATCAACCTCATCAATAAAGAAATGTGGACAAATGCATATGATGGTGTATATCGATATGGACACATGACGACCAACTTGGCTGAGGCTATCAATTCTACCTTAAAAGGGGCACGTCATTTACCAGTAACGACTTTGGTAAAAACAATATATTTTCGTTTGGGAGCTCTTTTTGCTAAGCTCGGGGGACAAGCTCAAACTTGGATGCAAAACGGTTATGTCTATCACCCTAGATTAGTTACAGATCTACAAAAAAAAAAGAATTATTGCATCAAATAGAATATCTGTAACAAGCTTCTCTAGAACCCATGAATTATTTCGTGTTATAGAGATCCAACGACCTCTTCAAGGGATTCAAGCTAACTCGTTTAGAGTTAATCTACGAGACATATGGTGCAATTGTGGGTTTTTTCAAGCTCTAAAGTATACATTCTCTCATGTTATAACAGCTTGCTCACATACCTGTCAAGACTATAACCGTTTTGTGGATCCCATATACCGACTTTCAGAATTGTTTAAGGTATATGAATTTGAGTTCCCCTCATAGGTAATGAGAAAGACCCTAATGAGGTTCAAAATTACTTCTGATTGTACTAGATCCATCCTTATTGAGGGAGTATGGTCATCCAAAATCACTCGAATTTATTGTGATATGGATATTCGAGAAACATCCAAAGAAACAAAAGATGTGGGCATTGTAGGAA